TGTATGTGCATGAGTGCCCAAAATCCCGAGAGGAGACTGGAGGAGAAGGGATTGCAGCATAGCCATCCCCCCTGGGGGTGATTTCTCTCTGTCTCTCTGTCTCTCACTGATGAGTGCACATGCCCTAAAAAAATACCAGTTAAACAAAAAAGAAGGCAATAAAGAGGAAATAAAGGACAAAAAGCTATGCGGCATCTTAACAAATACCAAAATGGCAGAAGTCCCTCCTTATCAATCAGTAATTACTTTATTATTCCTTTTTAAATTTTCCCAGAGGGCACATGCGCTTACCAGAGAGAGAGAGAGACAGAAAGCACCCCCAGTGGGGCATAGTTATGTCACAATCCTTTCTCCATTTCTCCCCTCTTTGGGATTTTGGCCACATGTGCACTGGTGACTGGTGTTTCTCAAGCTGCCTAGTCTGGGAACCATGCACTCGGCCACCTTAATCATGCATGGGCTGGTCCAGTGATTACTTTAAATATAAATAGATTAAATTCTCTAATCAAGAGACAGAGATTGGCAGAATGGGTTTTTAAAAAATGATCCAACTTTATGTTATAATCTTATAGATCAGCCTCTGTAAGAGGCTGACTTTAGATCCCAAAACACAAATAGGTAGAAAGTCAAAGAACAGAAAAGGTATTTCATGTGAAAAAAAGAGCTGGGGTGGCTACACTAATGTCAGACAAAATGGACACCAGGTCAGAGAAGAGTGGCTTCAGTTTGATTATAATGTATGGTGTCTTTGAGTTTATATAATACTTAGTGTCGAGCTCCTTAGGTGTGTAAATTCATGTCTTTCATCAGACTTGGGAAGTTTTCAGTCATTATTTCACTCTTTCTACCCCTCCCTCTCACATACATCTCTCTCAGATCCCCGCAGTGGGAACGCTGGTCTACATGATCTCTCACAGATCTCGTAGACCGTTTTGTTCACTTTTCCTCATTCTTTTTTCTTTCTATTCCTCAGAATTGGTCATTTCAGTTCTCCTTTCAAGTTCATTGATTCTGTCTTCTACCTTCTCAAATCTGCTTTTGAACTCCTCCAGTAAATTTTTCATTTCACTTATACTTTTCAGCTCTAAAATTCCTTTTCATGATTTCTCTTTATTGATATTCTCATTTTGTTTATACATTGATTTCCTATTTTTATTCTTTACTGTCTGAGCATCGTAGAAACAGTTTTTTTAAAGTGTTTGTGTAATAATTCTCGTGTCTAGGTTTCTTCAGATATGTTTTGTAGAGATTAGTGTTTTACAGTGCTCCCCAACACAAGTACAGTTCCTTTCAATCCACTGAAAGCGGCTTCAGCCCACCTCCATGCTGCGTCAATGTTCAGAGCAGCCATTCACAACCAGAACAAAGATCCCAGCATTTGGAGGACAAAGCCTCTACTGCCGCCCTAGCTGCCATAAGCTACACCAGAAATGGGTTTCCAGCCTACGGCTGTCTGCCCTAGGACTGGGTGGTAAGGGACAGTCACGACTAAGCTGATAGCTGAAATTGACCAAAATGAACTCTTAATTCACTAGGGAATCACTCCCCCTGAAAGTTGCAAATACTGAAACAGACTCCAGAATTCTATCAGCTTGGAGTTCCTGCAAGTGCAACTGTCCAGATGGAGAGATGAAGTCTCGGTGCTTCCTCTCTGTCTTTTTTACGTTGTCAGAGGGCATATGCACTTTCCAGAAGAGACAGAGAGAGGAAAAGGAGAAAGCAGCCCCCAGTGGAAATGTGGTCATGCTGCAATCCCTTCTCCATTTTCTCCCCTTCCAGGATCTGGGGCACACAGCCATGTACATGTAGCTGACATGTTTTTTAGTCTGCCAGGGCCAGGATAGAAACTGGTGGGCTCCGTGGGATCTGGTGCCCTTAACTCCTGGATTACAGGGCCGGCCCAGTTCTGTCATCTTCTCTGACGTCGCCCCCCATACACACACTCTCTTTGTAATCTCGTTAAACTTGGTTCCTTCTGCACGACATTCTGCACAATGATAGAATGTGTCTGTCTTCACCACTGGGCTTGTGCTTCAGGACAGGAACCATCTTTGCCTTACTTTCTGCAATGTCTCCAATACCTGGCGTATAGGGGATGTATAAAAAAAGTTTCATGAACAAATGAATAAACTTGACAAATCCCGAGCAGGATGGCACCTCTCAGCACTGTGGAACATAGTGACAGTATACAGCACAAAACCTTAAGGGGACCTGTATGGCTTGTGTGGTCATCCGCTGTGGCAGTCTGTATCATGCGCCATCTCTGCCCTGTGGAACCTGCAGTCTGGCTAATGAAAGTGACATGTGTGGGACAGCACGTGTGTAGCATTTTCATAGCTCTGTTCCCGCATGGCCAACTGCAGCTTGAATCCTGGACCTGGTGGCTTGAAAACCACTCTGGGTACGTGTGTGTGTGCCCAAGATCTCAGAAGGAGAATGGAGAAGAGATTGCAGCATGGCCATCCATCCCCACTGAGGGGGGTGATTTCTCATTTTCACTCTTACGATCTCTGTCTCTCTCTCCCAGGCAAGCACATGTGCCCTAAGGCAAAAACCTCTTAAAAAAAAAAAGTGGAGAAGAGGATTCCTCATGGCTCCTGGTAACTAGTCATTGCAGGGGACAGGAAAAATGAAGATTTTCTACCAATAATTAAGCCTCCAGCAACCAAAGCTAGTGTGATAGGGAGCCCCTCTGGCCTTCTATCTGTCTCTGTGCCTCTGTCTTTGTCTCTCTCTGCTTCTGTCCTCTCATTTTTTTGTAATTTTTCCTTTTTACATTTTTTTTTAAAGGTAAAGTTTTTCTCTTGCTCATAGCTCCACCTTTTGGTTTGTTAATAATCCCCTCTGGTCCTTCCGCCCAGGCAGGAGAGTTGAGGCCTTCAGAAGAGGATTCCTCATGGGTCCTGGTAACTAGTTATTTTGCTTGGTGCGTGCCACACGATTTTCTATTTTGTAGGTTTTTGAATCTTTTTTGTTGTTGTTTTTCTTTTTTTAAGAAAAACAATAATTACAATTTTTTTTGTTTTTTTTTTCTTTTTTTTCCCCTTTCTTTGTCGTTGTTTCTCTTTCTTTCATTTTCTTTTTTCTTTTCTCTCCACTCTTCAATATCCATTCAATGTGTTTCTAGATGGATCTAAGGGCACTGTAGCTAAACATTGAAATACTCTTAGGGTTAACATATTCCTCAACATCTACTGAATCTGCTGCACCAGCGATCACAACAGAACGGCAAAGAGATTCCAGATCACCTCTTTCTGCTCCTGAACAATCAGATTGAACTTCAAGAATTCGAAAGAAAAACACCATCCATCAGATGACAAGAAATCACCACAGGACCACAGAAATATGGGAAAGCAAGGGAATACCTCTCCTCCAAGAGAAAAGAATAATTCCTCTTCATCTATAAGCAGTTCAATGCAAATCATGGAAATGTCTGGTAAAGAATTTAGAGTATTCATAATGGCGAAGCTAACTGAGATGGAAGAGAAGAGAGACAATGAACTGCTAAAGAGAAAGGAGAAAGAAGTTGACGAGTTCCAGGAGGTGAGGAAATTCTTGCAAGATCTAAAAGAGGAATTACACACTTTACAAAA